GTTGTCCTCACTTGTCAATTGATGTCTCTGGTTCCCTGTTTACAATCTTACAAGCTCATTTTACTTTGGATATGTCCATAGCTGTGGTTTTTGGGTTATGTCATCTTGTGTATTAATGGTCAGTTGTTATTTGCTATTTTTGGTTCTGTGTTCAAAGGACTTCCTTTTATCTGGAAATCTCCTATTTTCACCATCATAGTTGAGGGGCAGTTTTGCCAGGTATATAATTCTTGGTTGAAACTTTTTCTCTTTCAGGAGTTTATATATACCATCCCATTGCCTTCTTGCTTGTATGGTTTCTGCTGAGAAATCAGAGCTTATTCTTACTGGTTATCCTTTATATGTAACTTTTCATTTTTCCCGTGCTGCTTTCAGGATTCTGTCTTTGTCTTTGGTTTTGATGAGTTTGATGATGATATATCTTCATTATTTTCTTTTGGAGTCTATGCTGTTAGTGCCAACATTGAATAATTCCAATTACATTTTATAAAAAGTAAGTTCAAACACTAAGGTTAAGTTGTTTTAAGAGAAACATTCCTCTTAGACCATCACTTCACTACTGCTAGATTTTATCTAACTAAAGCTGGTGAATTGCCCAGCTGTTGTGGCAAGGTGAATCTACTAATAAACTGATTCAGAGAGTTTTTCTATAGACAATGAAAACATTTTAAATGAATCTACATTTGGTAGTGAAATCTTCATTTTGTATGTTTTCTATTACCAGGTATCCATCATCCCACGTGGCAAAGGATTAGGTTATGCTCAGTATTTACCAAAAGAACAATACCTATATACTAAAGAGCAGCTCATGGATAGGATGTGTATGACTTTAGGTGGACGAGTGTCAGAAGAAATCTTCTTTGGGAGAATTACAACTGGTGCTCAAGATGATTTGAGAAAAGTAACTCAGAGTGCTTATGCCCAAGTAAGTATATAAAATATTGCTTCTTCCTCATTTTCTCACAATTGCATGAAAAATGGGCTTTTTTTTTTTTTTTAAACTTTTCATTGTTATTTGAGTGAAAGCTTACAGAGCAGATTTGTTTTCCATTCAGCAGTTCATACACATTTTGTGTTGTGACAGTGACTGCAATTCCCACAGTATAACAGCTTTTTTCCCAGTTCTTCTCTGTGGTTACCTTTTCCCAGTGTGTCCTTCTTTCCTATGCATTTTGCCTTCTGACCTTTCTCCCTATGCAAATGCTGCCCTTCTGATTTCCCATGGTTGATTGTTCTAAGTAGTGCAGTCTTAGCCTGGTGTAATTGTTTACCTCATAGGCCTATTGTTTGCTGATGATTAAGCCATGGGAGTAAGTTTAATTCCAGGCCTGAAGGTTGATTAAGGGTGCCTCAGTGGTTCCACCAGGCTCCCTTGGGCGATCAGTATACCTGTTTTTTTTTTTTTTTTTTTTATCATTTTGAGTTTTGTTCCCTTTTTTCTCCCACTCTAAGATATCCAATTTTAATCCCTTTCTGAATGGTTGGCAGTGGTAGACAGGCACCAACTAGTTCTTCTGATCTCAGAGTCATGTAGGCTAAGGTCCCCATGCTCCCTAGTCCCTTCCACTAATTGTTTCCATGTGTCTTTGACTTTCTTCAGTCTTGTTTACTGCAGATGAGGAGAGACCAATAGTTTTTATCTTAAATCGCTGTTTGCAAGCTTTTAAGACCCTAGTCGATCCTTACGAAAGTAGGACGTAAAACCATGTTTTACAATTATATTATGCCAGTGGACCTTGATGTCCCCCATGACCATGGTCCTGAGCCCACAGGCCCAGCAACTCACTCCATCAAGGTGTTTGTGGCTAAGAAGTTATCATAACTTTGCCCCTGTTCATTCTATTATATATGTGGACATTTAAATAGTACATACAAATACATGTATAGAAATATCTACCAAACCTATATATGTTCATGGCCATAGTCCTGTTCCATCTACTCATACCTGATCATCTTGCCTGTCTATGTACATATCCACCCATAGACGTTTGTTGTTATTGATAATGCATTATTGTATATAAAATAGTATTTACCTTCATTGTTAATACTTCAAGTGCATCTCTCTGTATCTTCCTTTTCCTTAGTGATATTGTGCTTGCCACCCACTTTTGGTAGCGTAGTGCCTAAGGCACTTGACTGCTAACCAGAAGGCTGGTGGTTCAAACCCACCAGCCACTCCTCAGAAGGAAGGTTGGGCAATCTACTTCCATAGTGATACTGCCTTGGAAACCCAAGGAGGGGTTGCTATGAGTCGGGGGTAACTTGACGGCACATAACAACAACAACCCACTTTTGGTATAATGCCTTTCCCTTCACCCAAATCAATATGTGTCTCTTTCCTTGCTAGCAATTTTCCTACCCTTCCTCTCCTATCCCTAATAACCAACAAAGAAAGTTTCCTTCCATGTGTAAACCTTTCCTTGATTTTTTATAATAGTGGACTCATTCAATATTTGCCCTTCTGTGATTTACTTATTTCATTAAGCATAATGCCCTCCAAGTTCATCTATGTTATTAGGTGTTTTGTGGATTATTCATTTTTCTTTAATATGGCATACATAGTATTCCATTGTGTGTTTGTACTGTAGTTTGGTTATTCCGTCACTGATTGATAGGAACTTAGGTTGTTTCCATCTCTATCCTATTGTGAATATCCTGCAGTGAACATGGATATACATATACCTGTTTGTGTCCTGGCTCTAAAGTCTTTAGGATGCATACCTAGTAGTGGGATTGCTGGATCAAATGTTACTTCTAGTTCCAACTTTTTTTTTTTTTTTAATTGCCTTTAATTATGTTGAAGAATTTCTCATCTGTTCCTATTTTTTTTCAGTGTTTTTATCAGGAATAGGTTTTAGATTTTATCAAATGCCTTTTGTGCATTGATTAATATGATCATATGGTTCTTTTCCTTTGTCTTATTTATGTTGTGGATTACATTATTGTTTTCTTAATGTTGAATCCTTGCATACCTGGTATTATTTTTTTTTCATATGTTGTTAGAGTCTGTTGGATATGATTTTGTTAAGAATGTTTGCTTCTATGTTTGTAAGAGATACTTGTCTATAATTTTATTTTTTAGTTTGCTATTAGGGTTAGTCTTGGTTCATAAAATGAATTCAGGAGTATTCCCTCCTTTTCTGTATTTTGGAATTGTTTGAGTAGAATTGATGTTAGAGCTCTTTTCTGAATGTTTGGTAGTGAAGCCATCTGGGCCAGGACTTTTTTTTTTCTTTCTTTCTTTTATAACCTATTCATTTTCTTCTTTTATTATGGGTCTGTTCAGATTTGCTAACTTAGTCTATGTTAGTTTAAGTAAGTAGTATGTTTCTAGAAATCTGTCTGTTTCTTCTAGGTTTTCAAAGTTTTTGGAGTACAGCTCTTCATAGTATTCTGATATTTCAGTTGATTTCTGTTGTGACGTCACCCATTTCATTTCTTGTTTGTGTCTTTTGCATCTTCTCTTTCTTTCCTGTGTTAAATTTGTCAGTAGTTTGTTGATTTTATTAATCTTTTCAAGGAACCAACTTTAGTCTTGTTTGTTGCAAATTTACTTTTTGAAGCTTGTAATGTGCTGCAGGAGCTCTGGTGGTGTAGTGCCTAAGGCATTTGACCACTAACCAGAAGGCTGGCGGTTGAAACCCACCAGCCACTCCTTGGAAGAAAGATGGGGCAATCTACTTCCATAGTGATAGTGCCTCAGAAACCCAAGGAGGGATCACTGTGAGTCAAAATCAACTCGACAGCATATTACAACAACAACTGTGTGCTCCAGTCCGAGTTGTTATTATTACACAATTATGATGATGTTTCCAATCAAATGGTTTTGTCTGCAGGGACAAGCACATGCTGTTTTCATTGCTTCTAGTGTTTTTATAGTAACAAATTTTGTGAAGAAGCACACAGCATCAGAATTGGAGGAAGAGCCACTAACAACCTGTGATATGCAGATGACACAGCCTTGCTTGCTGAAAGTGAAGATGACTTAAAGCACTTACTGATGAAAAGGCCTTCAGTATGGATTACACCTCAACATAAAGAAAATGAAAATCTTGACAACTGAAACAATAAGCAACATCATGATAAATAAAGGTAAGATTGAAGTTGTCAGGAATTTCATATTACTCGGATCCACAGTCAACACCTATGGAAGCAATAGTCGGGAAATTGGACATTGTATTGCACTGGGCAAATCTTCAAAAAGCTCTTTGAAATATTAAGCAGAGATGTGACTTTAAAGACTAAGGTGCACCTGAACCAAGCCATGGTACTTTCCGTTGCTTCATATGCATGTAAAAACTGGACAATGAGTAAGGAAGACTGAAGAAGAATTGATGCCTTTGAATTGTGGTGTTGGTGAAAAATACCATGGACTGACAGAAGAATGAACAAATCTGTCCTGGAAGAAGTGCTGCCTGAATGCTCCTTGGAAGTGAGAATGGCCAGACTTCACCTCACCTACTTGGGTCATGTTGTCAGAAAGGACCATTCCCTGGAAAATGATATCATGGTTCGTGAAGTAGAGGGTTAGTGAAGAAGGGGAAGACCCTCAATGAGATGGATTGATACAGTGGCTACAGTGATGCATGCAAGCAAAGCAAAAATTGTGAAGATGGTACAAGGCTGAGTATTGTTTTGTTCTGTTGTACATAGGGTCCCTATGAGTTAGAGTTGACTCAGTGGCACCTAACAGCAACAATTTTGTCAGATATTCCGGTGTTTTAGCTACAGTGTTGTGGTAATTAGTACTTATGAACCTATATAAATAACTTTTTTTGAGCATGAAATAGTAACTAAAGGGAAAACTGTAAATAAATAAACCAAACCTACTGCCATTGAGTCAGTTCTTACTCATAGTGACCTCCATTGGGTTTCCAGAGCTATTAATCTTTATGGAAGCAGATCGCCCTGTCTTTCTTCTGCAGAGTGGCTGGTGGGTTCAAACCATTGATCTTTTGGTTAGCAGCCAAATGCCTTAACCATTACACCACCCAAACCAAACGCACTGCCGTCAAGTTGGATGCAACTCATAGGGACCCCTCCTTGGGTTTCTGAGGTGGTATCACTATGGAAGTACATTGACCAACCTTCCTTCCAAGAAGTGGAGCTCCTTAATTAAAGGAAGAGAAGGAGAAAAATTCAAAAAGTTTTCAGGTCAGTTACTGTAATTCAGTGTACAAAGATTTTATGAAACAATTTTATTGGTTATATTAATTTAATCTAAGAAATACTACATTTATGCAGTTTACAACTATATCACATATTATTCCATGATTAAAATAGATAATAAACATTACTGAGGATTCTGTATAGTCTGATATGAAAGGAGGTCTAGAGCGATGGGTAGTTTGACATAATGAGTTACTGTACTGGGAGATACCAGCCCTAGTAATGCCACTGATATTTTATTTTGAGGGTTAGGACAAGAAATTCATAGGAGCTCTGGTAGCGTAGTACCTAAGGCACTTTGCTGCTAACCAGAAGGCTGGCTATTCAAACCCACCAGCCACTCCTCGGAAGGAAGATTGGGCAGTCTACTTCCATAGTGATACTGCCTCAGAAACCCAAGGAGGGGTCGCTATGAGTCAGGTCCGACTTGACGGCACATGATAACAACAACAGGACAAGAAATATTGAGAAGCATTTCCTGTGGTATCTGAATGGTAGCACTTGCCAGTGAGTGCATGATCCCTGTGCAATACTGCTTATGTGTGATTTAACGTGTCTGTGTGTGATAACATGGGCCCTATGAAGCAGGGGATCAGAAAACAGAAGCTCCTCTGGCCTCTAGTGTTATTAGTCACGTTTAGTGTAGTGAATTACTAGAATGTAACTAGATTTTTTTTTTTAATTTGATCTTTTTGCTCAATTATACATATAAGCCATTAGTTTCCAAATAAAATAAGGAAATCCAATTAAATTTGC